TTAATGTTAACATTTATTATTTGAAATACTTATACGTTGTGCAGTATACACAATAGATGGTTCATAGAATCTATATAGTTGACTAGCTACCTGATAGGTAATACCTTTTTAAAACTTCAAATATAGTACGCATCAAAACTAAACTATTCTTCATTAAAATTTAGAATAGCTAACCGTAAGCTCTAAGAAATTTTGTCTCTGTGTTTGACTAACGACAAACCATATGACTTCATAACCTCTTCGTTTAGAAAAAAACCCAGTTAGTCTACTATTAATGATTTCAATTTTAGGTATTTGATATAAATTTGGACAATTTAGTTAACACTATCATTTCATAACGTCCTTAATAATTTGTGTCATTTCTGCTTCACCTCTGACTATTCATTTGCTCTGATTGATGATAACATTATTATTTCCATACATCATAATCCCTTGATAAATTTAAATCAAGTTAGAAGTATATGATTTGCAGAAGAAAGGCAGTTCACTATATTTCATGGCAACTCTTCAACTTTGAATGGCCAAATTTGAAAAGTAATTCTATTAGTATAAACACTTTTACATATCTGACTCAATGAAGTTGAGTTCAAGACGACACAGCAAGAAAACCCCATAAGAAATAGGAGGATGAATCAACAGATTTACTATAATAATCAAGATTTATTACGATTTATTTATTGAAAATGAGGTCGTTTAAAAGTGTGCTGTAATGAATAGTACGAACAAAAACAATTATTTTACAAGTGAATGATAATCAATCAACTTGGTTGATATAAGGTTATTGTTGTTGGTGAATATCACTGATGATTTTAAAATTAAAGCCACAATAAAAACACTATGTATTCGACAAGCGTTTTACCAAGTCTATCACACTTTCTTAATGTACATGTCAGGTCAAAAACGCTTGACAACAAATGCCACTAAATGAAGGAGTAAAAACGATGTTCATTGATTGTTTATTAATTTAAACGTCTTCATGATATATACCTTACGTTCATTTTCCATAAAGACCTTATTAATAGCAGTCATGAACAGTTTACTCTAGAAAACCTTGTGAATGCTTATTTTCGGTCCTTCCTATAAATTTACTACAACAAGCACATATAAATTTATAAATACATTTGGAGGTAGACTCACAAGGATTTTGATCCACTTTGACTGATTCAAGGAAATTCGATCATGTATAATACATGACAGTAAGCTGAAGCGTAGCTCCTTATTATCATTGTTTTAACCCTTTTATTATTTTTGAAATATAATCTCCTTTGACCTACAAACAGATGAAGGCAAATGATTTCTTAACAGTTGATTGTCTTCTCGTTTTAGTAGTTCAGAATAAATCTCTTCGAACATTCATTTTTTATAGACACTTTTTAATGTCAGAGATTTCTTTTTCCATTTCATTCACTGAACACAACTATATTTTTATTAGATTAGATGTTGATTAAGCAGAATCTGCAACTAACACAATCAAAAACTATTGCACTATTTTCTCAACAATGATTCTTTTGTAAATTGCTCCGTATTTCCTTTGTATTATGTTCAGGTATAAATAGTTGCATATTTTCCATCGTAAATTTATTGTCTTCATGTGCTTTTTCAAGCTGATGAGTTAATCGTAAAACACTATTCATTATTATTCCATATTAGTTCATTTCAGCATTCAAAATGTTAACGACATTTTATACTATCAATCTTAAATTTATATTCTATATTTTTATTACATGCATTTTCTTCAAATATGGCTATTCCTTTTAAGTAGTACTTTGCATCATTCAGCGTAGAATATGATGGGAAGCTGTTGAACAGAATATTTTTCTTTAATATATCTGTATTTTACTATTGCTGGAATTATTAAACAATCTAGTAATTACGTGTTAAAAACATAAAAGTTTACCATAATGAAATATTTTGTTCAACCTTTTTCGACTGACTATGTTTTCAAATTTCATAAATGACAAACGTGAAAACTAATCTTGTAATATAAACCTATTGCCTTGATATAGGGTTAATTCACAAGCGTTATAAGCACAGATGCATAATGGCTAGCAGTAGAATCCAGGACGCATGGTTGATTGTATTTTAGACTCGTCAGTTGTATATACCTGCAATCCTTACATGGTGCACATACGTCAATAAGAGACTGATCAACTGAAGTCCTAAACATCAATGGGAAGATTAAAAAACAAACACCACATTACACAAGAAAGTGGCTATCAGGATTCAGAAGTCGAGTGGATAATGTGATGGCGTTTGAGGCGAACGGTACTGGGTTCGAGTCCCAGAGTGAACATCAACTCAGAATCAGGTACATCCAGGTGATGAGTCGCAAATTATACGAACCTTGCGTCCTGGATTCCACTTTTGCTCACTATCCATCTTTGTTTATAAAGCGTGTGACTTAAGGCAATCTCGAGTCAGTCCGCACAGGATTCATATATGCCAACAATAGACTGATCAATTGAAGTCCTAAACAACAATGGGAAGATACAGTCAAACAATACTAAGTAATCTTGTATCAGTTCGTAATTGGTCATAGATAGTATTTTACTCCGTTTAACTGGATTTAATTTATTAGACACTGAGCCGGCATCCAGCGGTCATAATGTCTAAATTCAACCAATCCACGAAATTAAGCTACACATTCACCATTGTCTTCAGTGAGTTACTATCTCACAACAGACCTGGTTGAACTCCACTGGTCACTACTTCTCACTAGAACGCCGGGATATACCTCTTGAAGTCTGTCACTAGTGAGCACATTTTGAAAAATATCAGGTGTTTTATAGATATTATAGTAATTTCAATAGTTGAGATCATGAGTCAGCTGGACCTAGACCACCATAGAAAACCTAGAAGCACTGGACGGCCGTTTAGTCTTATTGTGAGAATCCTCAGCAGTGCACATCCACGACCTCGTCCCTGCGAGATTCAAACATAGGACCTATTGGTTTCGTGAGCGAGCACTTAACCACTAGACCAGTGAGCCGGCATGCATATGAGTGAAATGATCACTGGTTTGTTACTTTTTTGTCCAATTATATGTACATGAAGACGAAATTTTATATGATTACTTCCACTGAAATGACGTAAAATTTTTATGATCTGAGCATTCTGAACATGTACATCTTGACAATATATATTCAAATTCATTTTTTCAACTGACCGAAATATGAACTACCTTATAAACGTTCTAGATTCATCAAAAACCAAGCTACTTGGAAACCATATGACTTTATAAAGCCACTTTTCTCGATAACTTTAATTTTCAAATAACTTTAAAGTGATTAATATATTCAATCCTACTAGTTTTTAAGTTGATTTTAGCATTTACTGACTAGCTAGATCATTTCCATTCATTGAAATCATGAATCAATATTAATTAAACCACCGTTGAAAATCTGGAACAACAGGATAACATTTTGTTTCTAGCATAGATTTCATCAAGAGTGAGTATCCACGACCTGGCAGGCATGAATCTAAACCCAAGACCTTCGATTTCGTGCACAAATGCTTAACCTGTAGACCACTGAGTCGGCATTCAAATATGTTCAGGTTTGAATTCAAACAATCCATTCTTTTTATATATGTGTCTAAGAATTTCATTATCTATAAGCTGTTCAGATAATTTTCTTACATTATAAGCATTTGTTAATCGAATTAAATAAGCCAGTACATGTCACCCAGTTGTAAATTTTTGTTGTTGGTCAATATTCTTCAAATTATTTACGATAAAAGCACTTAGTAACCTCATGGAATCTCCAACTAAATGACTAACAGATATTTAATGCATCGATATTTCGACTCCCGGGAGATAGTTCAGTGTTTGAAAGTTCATCATACATGTCTATACTTAGATCATTATGACGTGTTTCAACAAAATCATATGTATTAAGTGGTAACATTCTTCTCCGGGTAACAAAAACCTCTTAGTTATCTAATTTACCAAATTTTATTTGCCTCACACGTTCCTCCTCCTCCTCCTCCTCCTCCTCCTCCTCCTACTACTACTACTACTACTACTGTGGTGGGTGCTACTTATATTGATATAAGTAGCATATGACGCGAGTTAAAGAACGTAGTGTCTGGCAGCAGAAGATGGGTGAAGATCAAGAAAGGAGGAGCAGGAACGCAATGCAATTTGTAAGAAAACGCATGAACAATGAAATGTGAGACAATGGATTGATGATTGCAACAGCAACAGTCCGGTTTGATATGATGGAATGACATTTTTCAAATTAACGATTTACTATTTGGTTTTTCTATTTTACCAAGTGACTCCGTAATTTTGTGCTGAATACATTCGGTTGTCCCCACCCGGGTTCTGTTCACTACACTACTACTACTACTTCTACTATCACTACTACTACTACTACTACTTATCAATGTTATGACCAGGTTTTATCTATCTGCTTCATTTTTTTTCATACTACCTCACTAATTTATTGATTACAACTAGTATTAAAAACTAGAATCACAGATAAAAATAGTGGAACATTTTTTTTATAAATAGTTGAGCAATCTATCAGTGTGTGTTCAGTTATACACTATCACCACCAATAAACTTTAACTGTCAAAGATCTATTCACTATTTAATTAGCTCATATTAAACAACACTATTTACCACCCCCACTAATCGTGTATATCAAAATATTTTTTGTGTAATCATTTTATTGTTCATAGCTAATCTATTGGTTGATTATTATAAATTACTAAACGGAAAAGAAACAAGTGATATAAATGCACTAAATACATCTTATACTAAAGCAATTGAAATGCAATAAGGGAACATATAGATTATCCAGTTATCTACTCAATTGTCATACAATTAACGGGGTTTTTTTTAATCAGTCCTATAGTGATACATAAATAATAAATATTTAAATTAAAAGCGCTCATCAATTTTTACAAAGAAACAATATAAAGTAAGTTTGTATGCCATTCATTTAACTTGGTTTGTTTTTCTTAAATTTCTTTTATTTGACTACTTTTAATTAGAAATGAAAACGAAACGTTCCACTAGTAAAATACGTAATTCTGAACCAATAGACGATATACTACGTCATGTAGGAACTAAACAATATTTATTTTTGGAAACACATATTTGTACAATTTATCGAGTAACATGTGCACCTGGAGAAACATTTAGTGAATCAAAAGCATTATCATTAATAGAAAAATATCATCGTAAAAGACAAGCACATTGTAATGCTGGTTTATTGGAAGATCGATTTAGTTTGGAACGTACAAAAACTACTGGAAAAATACCATTTCGTCCATGGGTATCATATAAAGAAATTATGCATTTCTATGTAAGTCATTCTAAACCGGAATTCTTTGCATTATGTATTGATTCACAACGAAGTTTACAAAAATATTATGAAATATACAAATGTAAGAGTGCAGCAAATGTTAGAAAAGTTGAAGAATTAATGAGACGTGCAATGAATGATCCAGACAAAAAACTACATGATGTTAATGCACTAAGACAAGTAGCGGTGAAAGATAGTGACCGAATACGTTCCCTGCCGAATTTCGAAGAAGAAAATATACGTGATACTATGATTGAAGATAGATCTCCCTCACCACCATATCAGTATCCATCACCACCACCAGTACGTCAGTTACCTTCTCCTGTGATGGTAGCCCCTGTAAGACAAGTCCCTGTGTACAATGCAGCATCACCTAGCCCAGTAATTAATTTTGAACGTTATAATGTTGATGATCTAGAAAATGTCACGTATATCAAACTGGATCCTAACAGAGGTCCAATGATAGATAAAGAAGGACCAATTTATATGTTTTTTTCAAGGCAGAAAAACAATCAAAGTGAACCAAATCTTTACAATAATTATGTTAATCATGATTCACCAACTTGGAACAGAAGAACTAAAAACTCTAATGTAATGTATTCACCATGATAAAACAAAGTCATACTCTAATGAATAGTATCCTAGATTTTAATTTCCATCATAAAGATTCACTAGTTTCTATACATGCACAACTAAGAGAATAACATAAAATGATGAAATTAACTGAAGAAGTCCACTTCTTTGATTACAGTATACAATTAATTTTCAACTTTACCTACTTGTTTCATACTGTTGTAGCTTTATGCTTCCTTTATTTTAAAAGCAAAAAAATAAAAGACATAATGTTTTCATTTCGATTATTTAGTACAATTTATTAGTCATACTCAGGTTAGTAAAATTGTTGCTGCTCAAATTCTGTGTTTATTTTCTCATTTTTCTTTCTTTTCAAAAATCTTTTCGTTATGAATATATCATTATGAAATATTGTTTCACTACGGAAGTTGATCAACATATTTCATTATGTTTTTGTTTATTTCTACAAAAAAAAAGTTATGTCAGATATGTGTGTGTATGTGATTTAGTTGCTACAGTGATTAGTAAATAATTTAGTCATCCTTACATTCATGAGTTAATGCCTAAACAATTACCGATATATATATATATATATATATATATATATATATATATATTGCTTTTTATATATGGATACATATTTCATAAAGATTAGCCATTTATTATAAATTTCGTTTTATTATTACCAAAGGATGTATGGATAATGTTGTTTATTATACTCACAGTAATACGTAAATATATGTTTCCATGTTATATTTGTTTTTACTTTATAAGAACTGGGGGTTCGTTGAGTACAATCCTGAATAAACTTTATGTATCTATTCACTTCCTTTTTTCTGTTTACAAAAGTGAAGAGTTATTTCACTATGAAGTATGGATAAAATAATCTTGTCATGATTTAGTTGTTCCATTTTCTTCATTTCTTTTCACAGAATGTATGAAATCAGTTAATAATATTAATATTATCATTATTCAATAAAATTTCTTACATGGGTTATTTCAAATGTGAAATTCAATGAATGTCAAGTTTTCACTTTTTTTCTCCTGGGTTTAAAATGTTTTAAACGTGTTTGTGAGAAATTAATTTTTAATCTTAATCTTCCATTGACTACCAAGGTGTATTCCTTATTTTTCATGGAAACATGTTGATGTAAAATGATAATTGTCTATATTAGTGATCCTTTCAGTGGAATATCATTAATACCTTTAATATCATTGTATTTATTCAAACTAAGTAAGTTTATTCATACATTTGAAGAAATCACTAAGTTACTGATTTTGATTAGTCTTGTTCTAATCTTATCTCTAAGTATTTGAATAATATTTATAGTAATGTTTAACAGTATCTATCACTATAACATTCATGTTATAGATAAGATTCGATGATAAGATATAAACTAGAATTCTTCTTTATATGCAAAAATGGATAGTATTTAGCAGTGAAATGCAAGACGCTTGTTTCATCCTATTTTGGACTCGTCATCTTTTCATATAATGCTTGTGCATTAAGGCTACATCGAGGCAATATACATATTATTTACATACGCCAATAAGAGACCGATCAATTACAGTCCTAAACATCAATGGGAAGATTCAAACAAACAATACCAAGTGAATTTAGAATTCTTTCTGTTATGCTGTTTTCATTATTTCTTTAGTTTATTTGTTTGCGAAGAGATAGATACTAAGTTTGAAACTTTTACAATACCAATAATCTCTTCATTTCTGTGAACTTTGCGTTATAATTCAGGGACTCATTGAGTACCTTCAATGCAATGGGTTGATCACAAGATTTAAATCACTGAAAAATTCCCATAATTTTCCTCAGCGGTTAAAAACTTTCACAATATCTATTGTATTGTAGCGGTAAATAAATCCCCAAAATAAATAGCACTAAGTTTTCGACATTGGATGCTGACCATATGTTTTAGTGGACTCATCCAGCTGAAGGCGCTCGGTCAGGCATCCGTACCAGATCACGTGTGGTAACGCCGTGCTCAACATATCTGTGACATCATCAGTATCTAAAACAATGAATTTCAGGTCAGAGAACTGATAAACCGCTTTGAAGTAGATTATTGATCAAAGTCCTTATGAAGTATATTAGGATTAATAGATACGTCCATTGGTTTAAATATTGTTTCAAGGAACAAAAGTTATGGGTTGAGGGAAAAGTGAAAAAATTTAATCTAAAAGGTTACAAAACCTGTGAAATCGAATAGTTCAGTGATTAGTTATTGACTTCACTGTTATTAAAAGTTAGAGTGAGAAACATAGACATCCGAATTCCTAGAAGTTTGAATTCGTAGTAGAATTCTTGTTGATTATCTCCTAGAAACCTATCATTTCTATGCATCTGTTCAGTGGGTTTTAGTAATATCTGTATTACAACGCAGATGAATAAGTAACAATATTCATATCCCCGGAAAATAAATTCTCACCTTGATCTGTATGTTCTTTTTTTAAAAAGTAGCTTTGGAAACTGAATAAACAAGTTAACTGGAGAAGTAGTTGACTGTTAAATAGTGGATGAAACTGTTTTTAAACGCAATCGGTAGATTTCCTCAAATTCATTTCAAAGTAAAAAACATCTGCAGTTAACGCCGAACTAAACGGTTCTGAATCTCAAAAAACTTAATTGGAGAGCTAATGACTTGTATAACTAATTAAGACCTCTAATATCTAATCTGATGCTATCAGCGTTAAGGGACTAAACGAAAATGAATAATGTCATAACATATGCGATACATTATATACAAATTAATCTCATTAAATACCTAAGTAAAACAATAATATTACTGGGTTTTATGTTTACATGGATCCTTTCCAATTACTTGCTATCCATACCGATCAGATATAAACTACAAAAATGTATTTAGTTTTACCTGATTTACATGGTTGTTTTGGGTACAGTAAGTGATACGATAAGTAAATTATACTCGCGACCTTTATTCGAACATTATTTGTAATAAACGATAGAATAGTTTATTGCCTAGAACGAAATGAGTTAAAGTTCCCATGTAAAGTAAAGGATGACTTAAATTTTGTATTGAAAAGTGTTTTTTTTAAGGTAAAAAATGACTTTCAAGATGACGGAATTTTGATAGTGAAAAACATTCATATCAACAATTTATTGGAAAGAGTTCACCTAAGAAGAGTGTTTCTGAAGTGGATTACGCAATCAGATATGTTGATATTAAAACATTCAAGATTAACATTAGTATCATGCTGACAGCTAAAATATACTTCAGACATTTCAGTAAATTTAAACTCACCTGTTTATTAATTATAATAAGTGATTCTGAGAAATTACCATTAATTCCTCTCGCATACTATTGAAATTTAAACTGGACAGTAAAATACATCTGACTCAATAAGTTTAAACTATGATGTAATGTTTTGAAGTAAATTTATGTCAGTTATATAGTACCGGATTATACAAATTCGGTAATAAATCTAAAAGACTACAAACTATAATGATTTTCTCAACTATGAATGGGTTAGAGCAACGAAAGTGGAATTTCAAAACGATAGTAAAATAAGATATTCTGTCAATTAGGATTAAAGATCTCAAACTGGAATATTTCATTTCGGAAAGCGTGCATACGAAATTCTTTCATTTAGTAATGCATGGTAAATCCGCCTGTAGCTTCAGATCACCACCTAGTTGTAGCCAATTTAAAACTGAAGCTAAAAGAGAACTGGACAATTTGACAAACAACATTACAGAGGTTCAATACAGCCTTCCTTCGAGATACTGACATACTCAATGAAGTCAAGATAGCTCTCAACAACAGGTTCCAAGCCTTACAGGATTTACTGAAGAAGGAAGAAGAAACTTCTATGGAGGACAACTGGAAAGGCATCAAAGAAGCATTAACTTCAACGTGTCAAGAGGTTCTGGGCCTAAAGAAACACCATCACAAGGAATGGGTCTCTATAGAAACACTGGACAAGATCAAAGAAAGGAAGAACAAGAAGGCAGCAATTAACAATAGCCGAACACGAGCAGAAAAAATCCAAGCACAAGCTGAATACATAGAAGCAAACAAGCAAGTGAAGAAAAGCTCCAGAGCCGACAAGAAGATGTACGTGGAAGAACTAGCAACGACGGTGGAAAAAGCTACAAGAGAAGGAAATATTAAACAGCTTTACGATACAACGAAGAAACTATCAGGGAAATACAGTAAACCAGAGAGACCGGTCAAAGACAAAGAAGGCAAGCCAATCACCGAAATTCAACAACAGTGGAACAAATGGGTAGAGTACTTCGAGAAACTCCTGAACAGGCCGGCTCCACCGGACATCGAAACAGCACACACAGATCTTCCTATAGATGTCAATCCACCAACGACGGAAGAAATCAGAATGGCCGGTCATCAGACAAATCAAGAGCGGGGAAGCACCAGGACCTGACAACATACTAGCTGAAGCACTGAAATCAGACATCGAAGTAACTACAAACATGCTTCACCTTTTATTCAAAAAGATTTGGGAGGAGGAACAAGTGCCGATGGACTGGAAAGAAGGACACCTCGTCAAGATTCCAAAGAAAGGAGATCTGAGCAAATGTGAAAGCTACAGAGGCATTGCGCTACTGTCAGTACCAGGAAGAGTCATTAACAGAGTGTTGCTGAACCGAATGACACTACGGATCATCATCGAACAATCAATTGAGTGGAACTCGTCACTGTATATCAACTTCATTGATTATGAAAAGGCATTAGACAGTGTAGATAGAAGAATATTATAGAAACTTCTTTGACACTACGGAGTTTCTGAGAAGATTGTTAACATTATCCGGAACTCATATGACGGACTACAGTGCAAGGTCGTGCATGGAGGACAGCTGACAGATGCATTCCAAGTAAGGACCGGAGTCAGACAAGGCTGTCTACTCTCTCCCCTCCTCTTTCTTCTGGTGGTCGACCGGATTATGAAGACCTCGATATCTGAGGGAAAACACGGAATACAATAGAACAGCTCTGAATCAATTAGACGATTTGGACTTTGGAGATGGCCTAGCCCTCCTATCA